TTACCCTTTACTGGGAGATACCGATTCCTGCTAGCTATCTGACTTCGCGCCAGAGTCGCTGCACTTTTCCAACAACTTTGCAATTGGAACCTTACCCTACGGTTACCCTTAACTGGGAGATACCGATTCCTGCAGCTGTCTGATTTAACGTCCGAGGCGTCTGCATTGTCTAATCTATCCTCAGCCTTCGGCACCATTGATACACAATAATTAATCGTATTGGTTCAATTCTCAAATCTACCCCACTCGCTGGGCTCACACGCGCGTCGCTATCGCCCTGGCTCGTAACAAATATAACAGTTGCAAATCTATTAATATCAATTGTATTATTTATCTTTCGATATGTTTATGTTGTATTAGCGAATATGTTTTACTAATAGTCTTTTTTTAATATCACATGAGTAATGATAAAAACCTTTAGAGATAACTAGATAATGTTATCATTATTTTGTAATATTTGGCCATAAATGTTTTCGATATATTGAACATTCTTTCTGACCGTATCACTCTAAACGATCCCATAGTTCCACTATAAAATTGAATATGGCAGTCAAAACATTTAACATTATTAAATGTTGTTAAATTCACATCCAATATAGAATTTAGCAATACAAGTTGTATAGTAATAATTTACGGTGTATATTAATTATTCATTGAAAGTAGTACGTGTCCACATATTTATGAGCGAGGGTGTACGTATAATATTATGCGCAAAAAAGTAAAAGGCAAACACAGTATACAATACATCAATAGATTCAGAAAAATAAGTATGTTTTTCTTAGTTATTATATAAACTGTAATTACTTTTAAAATAATGTTATAAACAAATTTTGTTTACAAAATTTAGGGTCAGATTTGATATGCAGATAGGAAACATGAAACTTTTTCTTAAAAAGTTTTCTTCTGTTTGTGATAGTTTCGGAGATAGCCTATTGCAGCTGAAACTTTAGGGGGTCGTTTCACCTCCTAAATATGAAACAGATGAAAATACAAAAATACGTATATTTTATTTTTCGCTCCTTCAAAACATATCCAAAAATCAAAGCAATTGGGGGCGGATACCTAAAAAACATTCCTTGTGAGAGTCGAGGTGATCGTAAAAAATTTAAATGCCTACTAATCTGTGAAACAATAATGCGACAAATTAACTTTTTTTATTGTTAATTTTTTTTTTAAACAAATTTCACTAACATATTGGTGAGGTTTTCCTGATTAAAATAAGACCAAACACGATATTGTTATGACAATTGGTTATGATACTAGGCTTTTAAATGTTTTTTTTTACTCTTTTTCCGCTGTCTGTTTCTATGCTCTGTCGACGTCGGCAAATGTAAGAATATTTCGACTTCAGTAAAATGACAACAGCGCAGCGTGGGGAAAGAATAAACGCTGTTATGCCAGAATGACAACGTCGTAATGTATCAATATTCACGTTAGCAGTCGTCCTCAGTAAGCGCCATGTCATACCGATTTCCTGAACTAAATTTGATACGTAACTTGCTCTACCATTATCCACAAAATAGCGGAATCGATTTTGGAAATGCCTTTACGATTTTTCGCTTTTCGTCCTTATATTAGCATATTTTGGGCTGAATGAGGGCTCATTTGAAAGAGGAAGGTCCAACGAAGGGTGGGTGCTCTGGTCATCATTTAAGTCACAAAATCCATTTAGTAACCTAAAAATACTTCCATTCTACGGTATACTTTGCTCGACTTTTGTTCAACTTTGGACGCTCATATTATTAAATATCAACACACTCTCGTTTAATCATGACCAGAGCACCCTTCGTTGGACCTTCCTCTTTCGAATGAGCCCTCATTCAGCCCAAAATATGCTAATATAAGGACGAAAAGCGAAAAATTCCGAACCCCATTTTAGGCCCATTTTTGCCGGTAATGTCACCTCGCTGCATTACCCGTGTCTATCCCCTCAAACAAGGCTAGGCTCAACCACCTCGCCGACTTCCTGACACGCACCTCGCGATTGTACGTCGAAGAGATTAACTAACTTATAACATCAAAGACCTTCGGTATACTCGATTAGGGAGTTACCAGAATGCAAATGCATTATCGAAATACATCCGGTCGATGTGGACAAAATGACAAGAGATAAAATTTTGAAATTCGGTACGGAACGTAACAAAAGACATTGCGACCATATCGCGACCTAAATATGGCTATAGCATCATTAATATTTTGCGATAAGAGTTCCATTTCTTATATAAATACAACTCTATGCGTTCAGACTAACCAGTTCGTACTAAACAACTAACAATTACGTTCGTTGCCTCCTAGTCTTAGCGGGTACTATCTATCATATGAGAGGTAAGACATTATTTTAAATATTCAAAATTCTATTTATTGTAACAAAGGCAGGGTTAAATAAAGAATCATTCAAGTATACATTTATTGTCACCTTAATAATAACGATTCGTTATTTGAAAGCTAAATTCTCTAACAATAAGATGCAATCATTCAAGAGACCTGGTATCAGGTATTATCGTATGCTCTCAAGAGAAAAGTGGAATTTTTAACATTTTCATTTGGCACGATTACTTAACATTGGATCATACGAAACTGAAAAATCAAATAAATTACAAAAAAAAAAAAATATGGGCCATCCTATGCCAAATTGGCCACTTTTAAATCTGACAACTTTTAACTTGGCTGAAATTTGTATATGTATAGTACCCTACTAAATATGTTTCTGTGAATTTTCCGATTTCGTTTGCTGAACCAAAAAAACAAGTTATGTGTCACAATTACTTTCAAAAATGTGTTTATTTTCTATACGTATCGCATATATTTCGGCGAGAGAAAGTATATCTGTTGCTATCTTTCTATACCAACTTAGAGCACAAGCGTGGAATACGTATTTGCCGTGGACTGTGAACGTATTAATAACTCTTGATTTAGTTGGTGGTACACTCTAAATTTTGTTACAAACATTCATACGTATCTTGAAATCTAAGTGAAATAATCAGGTGTTCTGTTTTGAAAAGGTCACCCTACATAATAATAAAATAAATACGATCCTTAACATTTCCGGTAAAAACAGTCACGTTTTAGTTTCAAAAGATTAATTTTCATTGAATAATTAATCACTTTGGACGGAATATGCCAGAGGTTCCCAAACTTTTTAAACCCGTGGCCCCCTTAGTATGCAGATTATTTTCGGCGGTTCCTTTAATACCAATCAATGAGACTAATCTGGAATATGTTTGACAGACAACATTTTGTGGCATAAGCTAACTAAATATAAGTGATACTGTTGGATACAGAATCTTCCGTTGGCGTGGTAGACCTCTTATTTCTATACCGGTAGTGAATTTGTTATTTCTCTTTTGTTATTTTGGTCCAATCACTTCGGTTTTTGTGTTATGTGTGAAATACATTCCTTTATTTCGTTTATCTGTACGTTAACTTTATTTTATCAGTGGTTGTGAACTGTGCTCGAGAAAGTTTAGTTGGATTTTCTTTGTGACGTTATAAATCAGTTTCGTTTAATTATATGTCGCAATCGGAGCCATGTCCGGACGCGGGTGCCATATGGGGGCGCTCGGTGGGGGTTGGTACCGCGTACCGCACGCGGCTTAATCATCACTGTTTACCTGGTGTTCGGCGTGTGCGGTCATTGCCAAACCATCGCGCGTTCGGGTATACTTATCTGCGTACTTGCCACGTTGTGGCAATATCTTTGTTCTTTGTTTTTTGTTTGTGACAATTAAAATACTTTGATTGTGAACCTACGAGTACATTTCCTTATCTAACACTACCCACCGACACCCACAATAGGAACAATGAGTTCAAATGAGGACGACAATCTACCTTTGCCGATATATATAACAACCATGTAACAAATGTAACAGTGAGACAGGAGCGAGGAGGAAAGGTAACTCATTTTCGCGGGGGGTATAACTGGCTGGCGACTCCGTTACGTGCAAAGGAACGCATTGGCTAACCTGAGGCCGGCAAGCCGTGGATAGGGGGGACGCATGAGGCGACCCCCCGAGACCGGCACTGACCCCGTGTGGGAGATTTAAATATCTCGGAGTGAGGGTCCGCGGACGGAAAATCACGAAAGTGATTTTCCGAAACGCTCAGGCTAACCTAGGGGTAAAGCCGCCAGGTACGCGAATTGTGGTTTCGAGAGGGGGTAGCGACCCGCGCCTTTATTATTATGGCTTTGGATCGTGGGATTCATTACTCGAGTGTCGGCCATCTCGAAAGGACACAGATTTCACCTCGCTCTTGTCTCATTGAACAGTTTGTGTATTTGAGAAGGCTATTAAATAGATAACAGGTACTATTTCATAAGACTTAATTTCTTTATTATTTAACTTTACCAATATTTATTTTTCTTTCTCTTACATTTTTACGTATTACATTTTACATATTTACAATATATCATCGCTCCCCTGTGAAGACGCGGCGGCTCACAGTTTAGGAATTACTGGAATATGCTATTTTGAAGTTGAAGTTCAATTTTCATTATAAAATTAAGTGATTAAATAGAGAATAAAAAGAAAAGTATATAAGAAAATAAAGAATCCTTCGATCAGGGACTCGTTAGTCTAATATATTTTCTAAATCTACCTTTACTTTCGTTTTCAGGTGCACCAGATTGAAGAAATCTTGCTCACCGCAAACCAGAGTGGCCACCCACGCCATCGCCTGTTATGACGAAATGAATTAACCTTTTTGTAAAACAAAAATTGTTTTATAGTTCTTTAAGATATACTTTGTAATATATTTACATTTCATTCATAAAAATTATTATTTAATACCTTAAAAAACACACACACAAGAAAGTGGCCGTTTTCATTTTCCTGACTGCGACTAACCCCTTAATTTTTCTGGTTTGATATCATATACAAGTAACGTCTTGATTATCATTATGCGAAAAGTCACTTTATATTTTTTTTTTAATCGCGATAGGATAAATCCTGTCACAGCAGGGGTGGAAAATCTAATCGGTTAATGTTATTTTTGTTTCAGAAATGAACTTACCGATCGTCGCCATCTTGGCACTGGCCGCCGGTGTACTTTCGACTACCATCAGCACTGCAACAACCACTACAACTCCAAAACCCAACCTGATGTGTTATCCAGGACTACGTGTACCTCACGAGTGCCATTGTAACGAGTATTACGAATGCGCAACGAATGGAGTTCGATAATACCTTAGAAGGTGTGAACAGGGATACTATTACGATTACGAGAGGAAGGTGTGCGATATTACGTCGCGCACCAAATGTTGGAGAGGTCATTGTGTACCAGATGAATTATTGCCTCACGATTATGATTGTAGCAAGTATTCTATGTGTGGACCGACAGGAACAAAAGTACTTAGTCAGAATTGCGCAGAAGGATATTTATTCGATTGTGACCTGAAGAATTGTGTTCCACAAGACAGATTAGGGCGCTGCTGTGTTGTAATTCCTCCTCATGCATTCAACCAAGAAGATATAAAAAAACCTTAAATTAGGGTCCGCGAAACTGACCGCGACCGCGATTCGGAAGCGAATTATCTTGTTGGACAATTATTGGAAGGAATTCGTCGCAAATCATCGTGCATTGTCCGCGACGGCCGAATTTAGCACCAGCGACTATCAAAAAACGCGTCTCTTTGACGAAATCGAAGAGGCGTACATTCAAAATTCAACCGATTTGGAGAAAAGGTTGGAAGATGTAAAATCATCCATTGTCGCGAATTCGTTAGAAGCCGATCACCGCAAGTGCAATAAGAGTCCTAGTTTACCGATTCTTTCAGTCGAAAAGTTTTCGGGCGATCTCCTACGATGGGAGGAATTTTGAGATTCGTGTCGCGCCACGATCCACAACTCGAAACAATTGTGGGACGTTCAACGCCTGCAATATTTGAAGGCGAATCTCACCGGTGAGGCTGCGAAGGTGATTGCTAGAACCTCGTTGACTGATGCGAATTACGCGACCGCGTGGGCGGCTCTCGAGCGTCGCTACGGAGGGATTCGGGTGTTAACAAAGGCTCATATTGGGAGACTTGTGGACTGCCCAGCGATAAAACGCGCTACAAAGGAGGAGTTGATCCGCGTCCTTAACAAATTCTGCCAAACTCGAGATTCTCTGGCCGCGTTAAATAAACCCGTCGATACTAGGAATGATTGGTTCGTCGTTTTAATTGTTCGGAAGTTAGATTCGATCACTAGCCTAGACTGGGAAAAAACACTCCCTGATCCGACGGTTATGCCGTCATTCGAACAAATTTGAGACTTTTTCGAGTCTCGAATCCATGCTCTGGCCGCGAATGAAGAGCCGGAAACCGCGCCGACGATCCCTAAACGAGAGGAGTCGCGAAGAACCGAGAAGAGAGCAGCTATGACGGTTCAGGTGACAAAAAAAAACCCTCCGAAGGGAAAACCTAACCGAAAGTGTTCCCTGTATTCGGAAGGTCACCTCTTAGCACATTGCGGACAATTTTGAAACTTTAGTTCCCAGGAACGAAAGAACTTTGTTTTTCGCGCGAAACTGTGCATATCGTGTTTTTCGGGGAATCATACTGCCGCGGAGTGCCCGTCTTCGTACCGCTGTATGGTGTGCGGCGGTCTTCACCACATGTCACTTCACGAAGCGTTCCCGAAAGGTGAAGCTAACGCGAAGCCAAGCACGTCTTCCGTGAATACGTTTCGCATGAACCAAGTCGTTTTCCTGACCACCGCGCGCGTTCAATTAAAATCACCGCGTGGGCGCAGTGTTTTCGCACGCTCGCTACTCGACCCCGGTTCCGAAATGTCATTCGTCACCGATGACATTGTACAAGCGCTACGTCTACCGCGTCGGAACGTAGAAGTGCATTTAACGGGGTTCCAGAAAATAAACGTGGGAACGGTACGTCACAAAGTATTCGTGTTACTCACGTCTAGTCGCGACTCTAATTTTTAACTCCCGTTAAACGCTTTCGTGACTCAAAAAATAACTGCTCCAACTCCCGCAGTAGAAATTGATGACGAAAAGTGGACTCACCTTCATGGACTTCCGTTGGCCGACGAAGAGTTTCGCTCTCCAAATAGGGTGGAACTGCTTCTAGGGGCAGATGCGTGTGGGCATCTCCTCCTTGAAAATCGGGTCGGACCAAAGGGTATTCCGCCGATCGTGAGAACGCCCTTCGGCTGGGCTCCGATGGGTTCAACGACATCCCCGGTTAACGAAAGAGATGAACGTCGCGTGCGATCCCTACTCGTTCAGCCGGCACGAGACTCTCGCGACGATTGGCAGAGGTACTGGGAATTGGAAGAAGTACCGTCTATATCGATAAGCTCGCCTCAGGATGAGGAATGCGAGCGGTATTTCAAGAATACGCACCACAGGGATCAGGAAGGTCGATACGTTGTCCGGTTGCCGTTCACCACCACTCCGGGCGCCGATTCGGGGTCTCGCGGACTATTGCCGTTCGCCTGCTAGTTTCTTCAGAGAGACGACGAGAGAAGGACGATATGCTCCGACAGAAATACGCTGAATTTCTGGAGGAGTACGAGCGGCTGAGACATATGGAGGCAGTCTCGAAGTACTCGTCTGTCGAGGGAGAGGGGAGGAATTACCTCCCGCATCACGCCGTGTGGCGCGAGGATGGATCTAAAAAGAAAATACGGGTTGTATTCAATGGCTCATATGTTTCAGGGACATGTAGTTCCATCAATAGTTACCTGGCTGCTGGACCGAAGCTTCAACCTGACCTCTGGGCCATAATAATGAGGTGGCGTTTCTATCGACAGGCGTTCTCTACGGACATTGTCAAAATGTTCCACCAGATCAAGGTGCACCCGGAGGATAGAAACTGGCAAAGGATCGTCTGGAGAAGCGATTCAAGCGAGGAGGTTAGAGATTTTCGTCTGACCACGGTGACTTACGGCACAACATCGGCTCCGTACCTCGCCACCAGAGTCCTGCTCCAGCTTGCTGTCGATGAGGAGGCTCGATATCCGCTGGGTGCAGCGATACTCCGAAACAATTCCTACGTCGACGATATTCTGGCCGGAAGAGAGGACATCGAGGACGCAGAGGAGGCTCGACGTCAACTCATGGACATCCTGACGGCGGGCGGTTTTCCGCTGGACAAGTGGGCAACAAACTACTCGACTTCGAGTCTCGGTTTTGTTAATTTGTTGCAGGGTCACCAGGAAACTGGAACTTTGGGCCTTAAATAGAGTACAGCAAACGATACGCTGTCTCTTGCATCTCCGAAGCTCCCGCCTGCAGCACCGGAACAACGATGGACCAAACGATTGGTCCTGTCCGAGATGGCCAGTCTCTTTGATCCATTAGGCTGGTTGTCTCCAATTACTGTCACGGCGAAGATCTTGTTGCAGGATCTTTGGTTGTCTGGGATGTCCTGGAATGAGCCACTGTCTGAGCTGTTTGCCGAACGATGGAAGCAGCTTCGAGTCGAGATCGGAAGGACCGATCGAATCACCGTTTCGAGATGGATCGGCTACCGTGGGGCATCTAGCGGTCACTTGGAATTACATGGGTTCAGCGACGCTTCCGAAAGAGCGTATTCGGCAGTTGTTTTCATAAGGGTGCCAGTCGCTGGTGCGATGGCCAAAACTCACCTGCTGATGAAAAAAACAAAAGTTGCTCTAACGAAGCCGCAGAGTATCCCCCGACTAGAGCTGTGCGGTGCTCTACTCCTGACCCGATTGCTGAGAGCAGTAGGGGAATCGTTGTGACCTCATAGTGCGACGATGCATGCGTAGACCGATGCATCTGTCGTCCTAGCCTGGGTAAAGTCTCATGCTTCCAGGTGGAAACCCTTTGTGGCGCATCGGGTCGCCAAGATTCAGCGGCTGCTGCCAGACGTTGAGTGGCGACACACGCGGACACACGAGAATCCGGCGGACCTTGCCACGCGTGGAGTGTCCGTGCACGCATTGGCCAACGATGCACTCTGGAGGACGGGACCCTCTTGGCTATCGAGGTCTCAGGAAGACTGGCCTGGCACACCCGAGGTCGACGAGAACGAGGCACTGGAACGCAGAGTGACCGTGACGACGACGACCAGGAACACGCAACCTAACGATCATCCCAGTCTTCGAATCGCCTTGGGATCCGCTCCGGTTCTCCTCAGCGTTGAAGTTGGTCAGGGTAACCGCGTATATGCGACGCTTCGCCCATAACGCTTGTACCGTCAACAACCGGCGACATGGGTTCTTGACCGCTGACGAGATCAACAAGGCTTGGTGTCATTCGATCAGCGTCACCCTGTCATTATCGATCGACGATCACCCTTGGCGTCATTGTTGATAAGGTCAGCTCATCTGCGGACTCTTCATGGCGGAGTGAACCTGACTCAGGCGAACCTTAGGCTTCACCATTGGATTCCGCGAGACAAAATCCTGGTAAAGCAAATAATCAAGGCTTATGTTACATGTATTCGTCTTCAAGGACGCACAAGTAAACAGCAGATGGGAATGTTACCTGCTCAGCGAGTACAACCAGCTAGGGCATTCTCAATCAGCGGGGTTGATTATGCTGGCCCTATTCAGATCCTCATGTCGAGAGCGAGGGATCAGCGTTCCACGAAGGGATACATCGTTGTGTTTGTCTGTCTCTGTTCTAAAGCCGTTCATTTAAATGTTGTTTCCGATTTGTCCTCAGCTTCCTTCATCGCCGCTTTCAAACGTTTCGTAGCACGACGCGAAAAATGCCAACGACTGCTGAGCGACAACGCCACGACGTTCAGAGGTGCCGATCAGCTTCTGAAACGCATGTTCAACGTTGCAGCGAAATTCTATAAAGAAACAGCGGAGTTATTGGCTACAGACGGAACGGAATGGAGCTTCAAAACCACCGTACTCTCCGCACTTCGGCGGCCTCTGGGAAGCAGCCGTGAAATCCACGAAAAGGCATCTACGACGTACAATAGGGGAATAGCAACTAACCTTTGAGGAACTTTCCACTTTGCTGTGTTAAGTTGAATCTTGCCTCCTTGCATCCTTCTTTCCTCGCGCCAAACCATCTAATTAACGCTTCCTCGTTATCTGCAGTTCCAAAACCGGGTGACGAAATCTCCTACGACGCGGGCAGACGGAGATGGAATCTGATATCCAAGCTTCTGGAAAACTTCTGGCAGCGATGGCGTACCGAGTACCTGAGCCAGTTGCAGCCTCTCCCAAAATGGCAATGAACACGGGAGAACTTGGCCGTCGGAACGAATTGTCCTTTTGAAGGACGATCTCACCCCACCAACGAAATGGCCTCTCGGACGCATCATCGAAGTGTCCGACGGACACGTGCGTGTGGCTACCGTGAAAACCGCCACGCGTACTACCACCAGAGCCATTCAACGTCTGGTACCACTAGTTTACGAGAAAACTACGAGCGATGATAACTAGCTCTCGTCACGGCGGGCGGTGCTTCGACGCACTTTGTACATATTGTAAATTGTATCTTGTATCTTGTAGTTAATTCTGTTCTGTCTGATATTTGTTCACTTGTGCACTCACGA